AGCGCGAAGGATGTCTGATTGCCAGCTTAGGCCCAATCCCCTGGGGAGCAGGCCTAAGCCAGCAAGTGGTTATCCCCTGAGGGGTCCCAGATTGCAAGAGGGCACAGGCTGGGCTGCGGGACCCCTTCCCCCGAGTGCACAAATTTTTGTGCACCGGGCCTCTAGTATACATATAAGAGGCTAATATGCAAAGTGTCCCCTAGGGAGTTTGACTGGGAGTGTGGTCGCTTGCTATGACATGTGCTGACCACCAGGGGGCTGCACAGAATGAAGGAAGGCCCCGGCTGGCAGCCGGGGAAGGAAAGCCCCAGCCGGCAGCTGAAAGACCCTGATCTGAATGGCCCTGGTCGCTGGCCAACCTAGGGACCCTACTTGTGCACGAATTTTGTGCACCAGGCCTCTAGTACTATGTAATAAAAGCCTAATATGCTAAGTGTCTGGTCAACTGGTCGACCATTCAGCCAATCAAAGCATAATATACTAATGATATGCTGTTCAACCTCTCACTATGATGTGCACTGACCACCAAGGGGCAGACGTTCCGACCAAGTTAGCTTGCTGCTGGGGTCTGGCTGATTGAGGCTAAGTAAGATGGGCTGGACACCCTGGAGACCTGGGGTCTGGCTGATTGAGGCTAAGTAAGATGGGCTGGACACACCCTGGAGCCCTCCCATGGTCCCACCCTGGATGGTCAATCTCCTGCGACTATCCCTGCCTTGATCATGCACTGGAGGGGCCCTTGGCCTGGCCTGCACCCTCTCGCAATCTGGGACCCCTAAGGGGATGTCGGAGAGACGGTTTCGGCCCAATCCTGCAGGCCAGGCCGAGGGACCCTACTGGTGCACAAATTCGTGCACTAGGCCTCTAGTAATTAATATTTTAAAAAGACCTTATGTTAGGTGTCAGAAATACAAGAACAACTATCACCAAAACAACAGATAGCAACATAGCTGACACAATACAATGTGGCAAAAGCTTAACTAAGCATTACATGCATCATTTTAGATAAGGCTCACAATCTTACCTAATAATAGACAAACATGTAAATTGACTATACCTTTGCTACGCTAACCAGCCAATCAGGAGAGTATGCAAATTAACCTAACAAAGATGGCGGGTAATTTGCATACGTAGGCTCCAAGCAGTGGAGTGAAGCCTGACGGCCCTGGGGCCAGCGGCGCAGTGAAGCCTCATGGCCCCGAGGCCGGCGGCACAGCAAAGCCTCACAGCTCTGGGGCCGGCTCCGGCCGGAGCCCAGCCAGAGCGAAGGCCTGGGTGCCGGGTGCTGGAGGAACACCTGTTCTAGA